AGATCAAAGGGGGGCACATCGCGTCGGAGTCATGGGAAGGGAAGGAGCGACAGCTGCCCCGGATCTGATCTGTCACCAGGGGACACTCCGTTGGCTGACAGCCCGGGGGAGGGGAGGGGGGCGCACGCAACGGGCTGGCCACGACGCATTGGTGGTGGCCACCGTCGGCGGGGAGGGGCTGGAGATAGATGGGGCGCTGGCACCGGTACGCTCCGGGGAAGCTCTCGCGTGGATAGGAATGAGAGAGAGAGAGATGGATGGATCGACAGAGAACGAGAGAGCACAGAGCGGTGGAGGTGGAGACGGATGGATAAGGGGCCTCTCTAGAGGCGTACACGTGATGGTTACGTGTCCGCTCGATTTTTATCAGTCGGCTGGATTTTCTAATCCTTTCATAAACAAAAGACAACATGCACGCCTTTTATAGAAGAAATCAAAGAGATGCTACGATACAAGGTCACTTGCGCTCGGTAAATAAAGGGCGTACAGCTAATCTAGCTGCTCATGTTTTAGCTAAAGTTGAGGTTAGCAATGATTTAGAGATGGTTTGGCCTGATGTACCACCGGACTGCATTTTACATTTTATAGCGAATGACATTCCCAACGTTGTTCAAATAATAAAGTTGGGAGTACCCCTAAAAAAACTATCTGTGCTTTTTTTTAAGGAATGCATCATTATTATTATTATTTTAGACAAGGGAATGCATCTATCTGTTCTAGAACGGGAGTATGGGAGAGACCCATCAGGAGATAGCATCATTTTTCTCTTGCGTTTGGGTCAAGCCTAGATAGCGAAAAAAACATTATGAATGAAATATAATCTTACAAAATCAAACAATCTTCAATAAAAAAGAAAACCTACATAATCAAAATCATTCAATTCAAATCTTTTGACAATCCTTTAAATGAATTACATTGTATGTTCCTCCCTAAAAAATTATTTTATGCATCACTATTCTTCCATCTGATGGCAGTGTAGAGCTTAAATATGCGCCAATTAGGGACATTGGGGTGGCCTCTTCACATCAACACTTCATGATCCAAAGAAAAAAAGATAATGCAACCCGTGGCAACACACGCTCTTATGCATCTTAGATAGACAAGGTAACCTTATCTCAAGGTTTATTACAAATTGGTTATGAGTAGCGTGTAATGGCACATGAAGCAGGTTTTGTTAATTTTTTCGCCTGTTACACACACGGGCATACGATGAGGCATGAAGGAAGGAATTAAAGACAAAATAAATTCGCTGGAAAATGAAAGAGGAAATAATAATTTTGCTATTAATTAACAGAGCAAATGAATTCCGTTGTGCTCTATGGGTGCATGGGCAGATGTGAGAGAGGATTCCGTTGTGCCACTGCGTGCATGGGCAGATGTATTAGATTAGATGCATGGGCACACGCTAATACATCAAAAAAAGACCTGGCTCATGGAGGAGCTTTTTAATCTCCTGGTAATGTTTCTTTAGTTGGACCTCTAATTTGTAAAGAGTTACTCCCTCCGTCCGGAAAAGGTTGTCCCTCAAATGGTTGTATCTAGCACCAAGTTAGTGCTAGATACATCCATTTGAAAGACAAGTTTAGGACAAGCTTTTTCGGATGGAGGGAGTATTGTTTACACAGAACACATCCAAACCCTGAATTGGACCCCCTCAAATAGGTGCAAAAGAAAAATTTGAAACCTACGCCTTGCCCATTTTTTATGACCTGAAAAATATTCGTAAAATAGTGCGTCAACTTGGGATCCATCAGTTAACCTTGAGCCAATGGACGCCAAATGACCAACAACCATCTAGGCCACCAACGCTTTGTGTTTTTTAAATGGATTACATCCAATATTATGCATACTCATTTGATCTATGGTAATTTCTTAATAACTTCATTATTTCCACTTTTTACAGGAATGAACAGATGAACCGACAGGCTAACCGGTGAGAACCTTAACAGGTAGCCTCACCTATTTGGTTGCCTATTCAGTTTTTTAAACTATGGTTCGATGGCCATGGTGAAACGACACGACATAGTTCTTTGCCGGAGAGATGCCCAACTTCATGTTAGAAATGAAGAAGGTGGACGGTGGCGACAATGAAGTCTATTTGCTTTATGTTGAGTCAAGAAATTGATGGCCTCACACCATAATTTAATTTGCATTAATAATTATTGTTGTGCGCGCGCTCAATAAAAAAATGGATCGCCTGACATGTTATAACATGATAGGTTTCGAACGACACGAATATGTATGTGACGGTTGCAACGCATGAGGAATTACAAGCTGGTGCAGGTAGGTGCTCGCGAAATCGGCATGGTGAGTGTGATGACCAAGGCCACCACCTTAGGACTGATCACATTTGTTGCAATAGGTGGGCAAGTTACTATCATCGACATCGATGACGAAGAGGAGAATTGGAACACAAATGACTCGCTAGGGGTGTGTCAGAGTTTATTTCTCCCGTTGCAACGCACGGGCATTTGTGCTAGTAATAATAATAAGATCAGCAGACGGGCGTTCGATGTCATCCGCGACGACCCGGCGGAGATGGAGATGTTGATGGCCATGTGCGGAGGTGGCAAAGGGGGCAGTGTAGTAAATGTTTCGTACCATTAAAAATAATGCACCTGACATTTTAAAGAAATACTCTCAAGTTTCAAAACAATGTTTGTGACATTTAAAAAAAATTATACAGTATAAAAAATTGTTTGTCCATGTTAATACGAAAACTCAAAACGGTGCCCGGGCTCATCTGCTCCCTCTCAGCAAAAAATTCAAAAAAAATACTAGAAAAATTCAAACAATTCCAAATTTTTTTGTGGTGGTAGATAATTTGACGCGTGAGGTGCGCCCCAAAAGTCAACTTATTTGGACATCTGAGCAGCTCTCCGCAAAAAAGACAAATCGGGCCAAAACAGTGTGTGAACAGTAAATATTTTTACAGACCCTGATTTTGTCTTTTTTGCAGAGAGCTGCTCAGATGCTCAAATGAGTTGAATTTTGGGGCGCACCTCACGCGTCAAATTATCTACCACCACAAAAAAAATTGGAATTTTTTGAATTTTTCTAGTATTTTTTTGAATTTTTTTCTAAGCGTGGGCGCAGATGAGCCCGGGTGCAGATTAGCCGCACTCATGTTAATAGGAATACTTTAAATAGCATGAACATTATTCTTCTGGCTAGCATGTTTTCTCTCAGGTTAATATGAACACTTTAAATAGATTCGATAATGTGTACATAACATGCACTTCATACTACTTCCTTAGATATCACCGTGCATTGATTACGTTGAATTTCCTTACTTATTTGTACATGGCGAATATTATACAAGCAATGTCACATGATGCACCCCCCTTATTTATTTGTACTAGGTGATACCCCGCGCGTTGCTGCGGAAATTTCGTATTGAAGACTGGATGCAATGATCAATATGAAAAATGATGGAATGAATTTATCTATTGGAACCATGTATGCACTGATGCATATTGTTTAATTATTTGAGGTAGATCTTTTGACATGGCATACTCTTAATTTTACAGTATTATTTAGAGAAGCCTAATTATGGAGCCAATTGGAAGCACAATCGACATAATCAACTCAAAAAACTTTGGAAGGAATTTGACTAAATTTTTTGGCATGACCTTTCCTTATTTTTCTAGCATTTGAACATGTCACAGGAAGATAGTATATATTGAGAAGAAAACGTCACAGTAAGATAGTATATATTTGAAACAATTGTAAGGAAAAGTATTGACGTCAGTTGGAAGCAAAACTGACATAATCAGCTTAATAAAAGTGCATACAAATCCAAAGATTTCATAATTCAAACTTATTACATAAAATTAGTCGATATCTGACGACATACTTAGGCTGATCATGAAGTAGTTGTAATGATAGTTTTGGAGGTAATTTTCAATGGAAGGTGGTGCAATCTGTAGGTGCTTTTCGTGCGTCTTGAAGATGCCCTGGTCCTTGCATGGTTGTTGATGGTGCCCTACATGTTTATAGAAAAACATTATTGGTAATGTTATTGTTGTAGCAAAGGGCGACAAAACTTTATATAATTTTGTTTGGATATGAGAACTGATAGTACCTATGTGTTTTTATTACTGGTATCCTCTTGTCCTTCACAGTTGTTCATTTTCACATTGTTATCTGCAATGTTGTTTGATTGATGATAGAAAGTTAGATTGTGAATCTCATTTTTCTATGTGATATGAGAAGAAGCACGTATTCTTGCTTATGCTTTTTGACAACCTGGAGATGCACTTGTGTATCCTGAAGATATTCCTGTTGTTGACTGGCATGTAAACAGGAAATATTGTTATCAATGCGTACTCTGTTTGTTGACTGGCATGTAAACAGGTAGATGTACTTTTCAAAGAACTTTAATGATAAACAGGAAATATTGTTACCAATTAGTACCCCTCTTTGTTGGTGGCTCCATCTTCTGTAAATTGGATGCTTCTTTTCGCTGAAGAGTACCTGCAAGCAAAAATCGCCATTTGAATTCCATATTGAATGTAAGCTGAATGTTCTTTAGTAGAACTTCAAAAGGTATTACCTATTTATGTTTTTGTCGGTGTCCATAGTTGCAGATTGGCAAGGGGGAGGCATAGTATTGCCCAAGTGGACTTGTGTTAGGCTCCCTGGACTGCGAATAGGAAAAGTTTGGTAAACATTGTGTAGACAGAGGATGTAACTTCTATTTTGTGATTGATGGCAAACCTCTGGATGCTCTTTGATGACCATGGACTGTTCTCCAGTTCTTTGCTTGGAGTTGACTGGAAGTATTTAATGGTTCAAGTTAAATATTTTAGGTAATACAATTGTAATTAGGATGGAGTTACTTTCTGAATTGATGAAAATTGTCTAACCTTTGTAGAGGGCAGCATTTGTGCATTGTCAACTAGGAAGCTTTTCTTTTATGACATAACTTATGGGGAATCTGGATACTAAATCAACCTTCATTCCTATATAGAACAATCTGGTTTTCCCAATGGCATTATCTATAGGGCGGTCACATGTTCCGCGGTATCAACTTTCATGTTTGGAGAAGCTTGGATGGCATCTCGCTCAACCAGTTCTTCAGCAATTTTAGAGAAAGCAATGTCATCTAAATCTCCCGAGTCATCTGTAAGTGTAATTGGTAGCTTGTACCTAGAGAATTTGATAGTTGTTTATATGGAACAGAATATGTAAATGAAGGCAAATGTTCTATAAAAACAGAGATCGTACAATGGCTTTGGAGATGAATTTGTGCAAAGGCATGTTGGAGTATCTGAGTTGTTGTTGTATCCTCTGTCACAACGTTTGCATCCTTTGTAGTACCATTTAGTTGAAGGTACAATAGATTTAACTTTCGCAATGGTGTTGTAGGTAGCTCCTTCCTAAGAGTTTACAAAAAGGGTGCATTGAGAATCTGCTGTAGAAGTTCACTGATATACAAATAATAGGGTAGATAAGATGATGTTGACCTGAAAATTTGAGGTGGGCATATCTGATATTTGTTGAAGTGTGTACATTTTCCCTGCTGCTTGAATAGGACATAAATACATAACCTGAGGTAGTTGTTGTCGCAGAGCTGGAGATTCCCATTTATAGCTTCAAAAAGAATCAATGAGAAAAATATCAGCATGTTAGATTTTGGAAAAAGAAGTGTAACATCCCAAATTTCCAATTTGGCATGTTATACATAGATCATCCATGCATATCATATTTTATTTTTTTTGTTTGCAATCCTCGAGATCCTAAGCAACTCAAGGACCTTCGGAGAGAGTTGGGGATTTTCTAATTTTCATATTTAAATTTTTTATCAAATAATGAAGACGAGGATTTGATTTTAATTATTCTCTCTCCGGAAAATATTTCATATTAAATTAATAAATGAGGGGAGATAATACGACTTCTCCAAAATAATTGAAATATCGGAGGAAAAATATTAAAATCATTTTTGGATTTTATTTGAGTTTATTCGGGATTTTATTTGCCCTAGAAAAAAATGTTGCATGATTTAACATTTGCATTTTAGGGGCCCAGAAAAGCTCATCTTGTTCTAAATATTTTATTTAGACGGAGAAAACTTGTTTTGGAATTTTTAGATTTTTATTTATTTTTCTAGGAATTTTTCTTTCGACGGAATGTTTTAAAAAAAACAACCTCACGCTCGACTGGGCCGAAGGCCCAGCCGAGCAGGCCGGCCCAGCAGCCGCCGCCGCCGCCTTCCCCGCGCGCGCCGCCGTGCTTGGCACGGACGCCGAGGGAGTCCGAGCCGGACTCCACCCGGGCGCCCCCTTCCCCAAGCAGCCCCGCCCCGCCCTCCTATATATACCGCCGCCCCGCCGCCACACCACCAC